TTGGTGGAGCAGGGACGGGACATTCCGAGAAAACGGGACTGTCCCGGTGACAACGGGACATATGGTCAGACTTCCTATGCTGCAATGTGGGATAACGGAAAAGAAGTAGGAGGTGCAGTTTACTAACTCTGTATTACATAAACGCTGAGCAGTCTATACCAGGCTTTCGGTGTAGTTCCATGAAAAGTGTCGGATTGTATTCTTCCCGATACAAGAACTGGAAATAATTATTTAACGTTAGATTAATAATTCAAAGTAACGCTGCTGTGAATTTAAATAAAGCGGTCATAAATAATACACTGCACAATTTACTGACAGGTATATCTCGCTTTATCTCGTCAGGTGCGTTACTATGGAGATACATCAACATGTAATGAGGCTCAGCGATGGAATGCTTTCCAATGAAATCAACAAATCGTATTTTCGGTTATTAAAGATCAACTGATCGGTTTGTGTGTTCCAGAAAACCACATGAAGGTTTACCATCGTGAGGTTACCAATGATTTCAATATGCATGGCAAACTAATAGGGAAGTTTCTAGATTCCCTATTCAACCTCTGAAGGATTACAAATGAGGCCAGCCGTAACCAGACACCAGTTCGGCGCGCAGTGCTGCAAATGTCCGACAAGACTTATAGAAGTTACACGACACGTTGGCGTCTGTGGTTAAGGCACTGCGAACGCGCTTTGTAATGTCGGGGTGCCGGGTTCGATCCCAGCTGCGGGCCTTGCATTGGTTTCGACATCGCTATCGAGAAGCCGACCGTCCAGTGAGCAATGGCAAACTACTACTTAAAATTGCCTAAAAAGACACAACAGTCACAAAATGCTGGGATTGGTTCTGCAACGTCCTGTAAAGGATACGCAACTAACATTTTAACACGACACGTTATCTTTTGTTGCTTTTTTTTCAATATCGTCTTCATCTTCTTTTTCTACTACATCTTTCCATTCTTATAATCTTCTTGATGTTCAACACCCACATTCAAATAATCATGTGAACCCCATTGACACCCACTGTCACATTGTAACCATTTCTTTCACATGCTTGTTATTTTACCTTCTGTAGATCTCAGCTTGAATAAATCAAGAATTTACATCATTACACTCGAGACATTCTTACACGTGCTCTGTCTCCTTGCTCTGTAACTGACGAAGACTTCCCACGCTAACAGCACCGGATACAATCTGATTAAAAGTTCCGGCACTTTTCCGAATACCGGTCCCAAATTATTCACTGCGAAAAACATCCCTTTGAGAGCCTCAAGAGCTATGTAGTAAAAACATTTAGGCCGCCATCATCAGTTTCCTCCTTCAGTTATTGCTCGATGGATAGCAATTGTTAGTTAAGCTAAGCGCCGTGGGGAGGAATAGTTTTCGATCCATTGAAGCGTAGTGGGAAGGAACAGATTTTGATCTATTGTTTAAGCGTCGTGGGGGGGGGGGGGGGGGGGGGGGGGTGGAAGTAGGCAAATGAAATTATATAACGCAAAGCATAAATCGTAGTGTTCCTACTCCATAGTTTTCAAATATATGACCTCTTGAGGCCTTGAATATGATTTGTTTTTATAAGACAGTGAATAATTTGGGACCGGTATTCTGTTCCTCTGTTTTACTATCAGTGTTAAATATCGCCCACAATTCTTGCTAACATCTTTCCCTTCTTTCCTGAATCAATGCTGCAAGGTATTGATACCATTCTCTGTTCTGTTGCACTGTTTATTTGATAACAGAGAGCTTTAACCACATCAGATTTAACATAAAGTAGCTAACTACCCAAAGGAGTGGGAGCAACCAGTCTATCAGCCTGTTCATTACCCCGAAAATCAGAATATCCCAGACAGATCTTAACATGTGTTAGTTTAAAGACGGAACAGCTGAACAAAAAAGAGTTACAGTAACATTGTCCTGAGACATAGACAGTTTATATATTTGCACTGATAGATCAGCATTCACGCACAGAAGACATCATCATTAACTACACAGATGGATCCGTGATGGATCCGTGAAGCGCAGATCAAATTCAGCATGGGAAAACACAGCACCAAGGATGGGGAAAACAGTAGAAAAGGACAGCGGTGCTTTCCAGCAACCATGGCAACCACGGACATGGCTACTTCTTCTAGAGCACTAGCATGGGGTATCCTAGCAAACAGCCACACAGACAGCAACTGTATCAGACTCCAGGAACATGCTTCAGAAAAAAGCAATAGGCCGTATGCGCCCTGTCGAGGCCGAGAAGGGAAACATTACAAGCAACCTCTCCCTTGCAACAATTAGTAGAAATACCTTGCAGTGGTTGCTGCATTGGAGGATTGAGCACGCATGGGAAAGCCCAATGTGCCATGACGTCTATTGAGATAATTTAACATATCTACTGTCTTTAGAGTCTATATTTATATGCTGTCTATGTCCTGTGTGATTGTGACACAGATTATGTATATCTGTTGTCTATGTTTCTATGTTGTCTATGTCTTATAATGTGGTTATCTTGGTAGTCTTAGTGTCAGCTTCATAGCCAACGAGTCACCCCATACTTGCTCCGCTCCTGTGCCAACGAAAACACAGAGAATGTTTATCACAGTCCCTTGCGGAAAGATTGACATACTACTGTCTTAGCATATGCACTAGCATCATCATCACCAGGTGCCTTGCCGACTGGCGTGGGCGATCATGCCTCTCCATAATCTGCGATCTCCTGCAGCATGTATCAGTTCGTGTGCCGACACACCTCCATGCCATGCAACAAGACTGTCAAGCATCTTCTCTCGTTGTCTTCCTCAATGCCTCCTTCCACAAATCTTTCCAGGGGTCACAACATGTTCTATTTTCCCTCTTCTCATAACATGGCCGAAAAATGATGACTGTCTCCTTCTGATGTCTGTGATAAGTTGTCTTCGAGCTCTCTCCTCTTTCAAAACCTCTTGGTTGCTCTTTTTGGCTGTCCAAGGTATTTTAAGCATTCTTCTGTAAAACCTCTGATGCCTCTAAAAATTGTTTGGCCTGCCTACCGATTGTCCAGGATTCACATCCATATGTTAAAACTGGATGTATGTAGCAAGCAAGAATTCTTGTTCTAACTCTCAATGACAAGGATATATTGCACAAGATGTTTTTCATTTTATAAAATGCAGTTTTATATGCATACACAAGCATTAAAAGCATACGGTAGCCATCCGAAGTGCTAACACAAACAGTCCGACATTATAAATGCAGTTCATCATTGATGAACAGAAGTCACCAACAGATCAGCAGTTGCACATGCGATCAATTTTAATCTGTCAATGTCTATATCTGCGTGGATTTTTTTCGTGGAATGGGACGTCGCAGGTCGACCCAGCCTAAAATGGGTACCAGGATGGGCTGTCCTGGGAAAGTAAAGACAGCCGGCGTAATGCTGACCACATTACCCACAGAGTGCTGATGGTCTGTAAAAATATGGGACGCTTTGCCCATATGCCCGATGCGCCGAAAGGCGTGAAAAGGGAACTTTACTTTTTTTTTACAATGTCTATATGTTGTCTGTCCCCTGTGAGACTGTGAGACAGAAGAGATATATCTATTGTCTATGTCTATATGTTGTCTATCCCCTGTGAGACAGAAGAGATAAATCTATTGTCTATGTCTATATGTTGTCTATGTTTCTATGTTGTCTATCCCCTGTGAGACAGAAGAGATATATCTAGTGTCTATGTCTATATGTTGTCTATGTCTATATGTTGTCTATGCCCTGTGAGACAGAAGAGATATATCTACTGTCTATGTCTATATGTTATCTATGTCTATATGTTATCTATGTCTATATGTTATCTATGTCTATATGTTATCTATGCTCTGTGTGACTGTGAGACAGAAGAGATATATCTACTGTCTATGTCTATATGTTGTCTATGTCTATCTGTTGTCTATCCCCTGTGAGACTCCTGTTGGTGGCCAAGAGTAGACAGACACCTGTGACAAAAAGAGTTCTGGGGTGTAGAGTTAGTGACATCTTGTTTCTAAGTTAGCTGCTGCAGTTCCATACGTGTGTGTTGTGTGGAGTATTGGTTGTGTATTGTTTCATACAAGTTTTCTGAGGTATTATGTTTGTTGTGTGATGTTTGATGTGTGTTGTGTGGAGTATTGGTTGTGTATTGTTTCATACAAGTTTTCTGAGGTATTATGTTTGTTGTGTGATGTTTGATGTGTGTTGTGTGGAGTATTGGTTGTGTATTGTTTCATACAAGTTTTCTGAGGTATTATGTTTGTTGTGTGATGTTTGATGCGCGTTGTGTCTGATGTTTTCAGTCTGACATTGGATGTGTATTGTTTCATAGGAGTTGTCTAATAGGAGTTGTTTGATGTATTATGTTTGTTGTGTGATGTGTGACAACAGATGTGTGAGGTAAGCTTGATATGTTATATGAAATGATTAGTGAGGATTATCACCACAGCAGTCCAGACAGATCCATAGGTGCTCAGATCCCCTCCCCAGAAGCTCCACAAGTGTAAAACAACTGATGATACCTGTTCTGTATTGATTAATCAAACGTCTTATCCCCTTAGTGAAATACTGGTTATTTTTGCAGTTCCAGGCTGCACTTGCATGCCTAGGAGTTTGGACAGTGATATGGATTCATGTCCTTTACCATATTTATCTCTGTGATATGTGTTGCATATGGCAGTGATAACAATGCTTCTATCTGGTAGCAGACCAGCCATAACAACCATCCATTGCTGATGTGTGATGGGTTATGCTGTATGTGTTATTGGTAATGAAAGGTGGGTGATGTGTGAAATATCATAGGCGATGTGTGTCTATGGTGAGTAAAGTGTGATGGGTAAAGTGCGACTGATGATATGTGAAGTGTGACACATAATTGCTGATGTATTATGGGTAACGTGTGAAATGTGATATGTGAAGTGTAATATTGTATGTGTGATATGTAAAGTAAGAAAGAAGCCTGGCAACTGTGCTGTGGACTAACACAGTTTAGGATGTTCACACACAACTGTCCTACCTTCTCATCTTTATTTCTCCTTGTGTACTTGCGCTGGGGAGCGGCATTGATGGTGCCATTCGATGTGACAATGAGATCCACATTGTTAATATCTTTCATCCCCTGTGATCCTCGACCCCTTTTAACAGCCGGTTCCCACTCGGCATCAGAATACTCGGAAGAATATTCCTGGCTGTCTTGGGAGACTTCGGTGCTGTGGCCGGCGTCGATGACTGGGGGCACGAACCCACTTTGTATCACAGGCTCCCATGCCCTATTCTGTTGAGCAGACTGCAGCTCCAGGAATGATTGTTCAATCGTAGCTACAGTTGTTGGGGTCAGGTTTGGGGTCAGTCCTGTTCCAGAGCTCACCAGGAAATTTGGCAAATACTGTAAAACAGATAGAAAAAAAAAAAATGACATATTCATAGTTTGGAAGCTTATCTGGCATAGAAAATGTACAAGAAATGACTGACAGTGTAAGGAAGAGAGAGAGACCACACAACCCAGTGGCTTGTAAATGGCATGGGGGAGTGTTTCACACGTGACTTTGGGGGCCGCATTAGCGCAGTCGATAAGAGGCTCGCTTTCAAATCCAGCTGTGACTCGCTGCAGCCCACGGTCGGGGTTCAAAACCGGGCGGTTCCCGGGGTTCACCCAGCCTCTAGGAAATGGGTACCAGAGTTGACACTCTGGGGTAAATGGAGGAACATCGCTGAAGCTACAGAGTTACGTGCGAACGGCGACACAGGTGAACAATTCTTATCAGCTGTCCGTACTGGTGGCAGAGCACTTATGGTTTATAACCGTGTGCAATGACGCTGGTTCACATCTCCCGACTTTACCTTTACTTTACATGACTATCAAAAAGAAGGAACTAGCTTGCTGATTCTCCTCCCTGCAAGTATGTCAGCAGTCTTCTGTTACTGTCAGACACTATTACTTTGTCCATTATTCTGCCAATTTTTGACATGTTCCAGTTTACCTTATCTCATAATATGGTTTTAAAATTTTGACTGCTTCTTCATATCTGTGTTTAGTTGTCTTTATGTCTTCGCCTTTTTCAAAACATTTAGACTACTCATTCTGACTATCCATAGAATGTTAAGCTTTCTTTCGTAAAAACCTGTCGACTGCTACAAGTTTTTGATATACACTGGGACAGTAAAGTAAGTAAAGGGACCCTTACCATGCAATAAGCTACTGGGTATATAGGTAAAAAAAAAAAGTTAAGATCCCTTTTCACACCTTTAGGAGCATAAGGCTTATGGAAAGAGCACCCATATTTTTACAGACCAATCGGCACTAGGTGGGTAATGTTGTCAGCATTACGTTGGCTGTCTTTACTTCCCCAAGACATACATCCTGGTGTCCATTTTAGGCTGGGTCGACCTGCAACGCCCCATACTATGATAAAAATGCACGCAGCCAGCAGTGGGTTTCGATCACAGTACATTGGAATTACGAGTCAGACTCGCAATGCCTAAGCCACGGACACTGCCTGGGTATATAGGGCTAGACCTAAATACAGTTTCAAATGCAATGAGATAATTAATGTAGTGAATCAGATAATTACAATGATAATGTGGTAAACTTCAATGAGGAAAACTAAGTGGTAAACTACAGTAACATATAAAGTACTGAACTACAGTGACATATAAAGTGGTGAGCTACAGTGACATATAAAGTGGTGAACTACAATGACATATAAAGTGGTGAACTACAGTAACATATAAAGTACTGAACTACAGTGACATATAAAGTGGTGAACTACAGTAACATATAAAGTGGTGAGCTACAGTGACATATAAAGTGGTGAACTACAATGACATATAAAGTGGTGAACTACAGTAACATATAAAGTACTGAACTACAGTGACATATAAAGTGGTGAACTACAGTAAAATATAAAGTGGTGAGCTACAGTGACATATAAAGTGGTGAACTACAATGACATATAAAGTGGTGAACTACAGTGACATATAAAGTACTGAACAACAGTGACATATAAAGTGCTGAACTACTAGTGAGGGAAAACTAAGTGGTGAACTACAGTGACATGTAAAGTGGTAAACTAAAGTGACATATAAAGTGGTGAACTACAGTGACACATAAAGTAGTGAACTACAGTGACATATAAAGTGCTGAACTACTAGTGAGGGAAAACTAAGTGGTGAACTACAGTGACATGTAAAGTGGTAAACTAAAGTGACATATAAAGTGGTGAACTACAGTGACACATAAAGTAGTGAACTACAGTGACATGAAAAGTTGTGAGCTACAGTGACAAATAAAGTGGTGAACTACAGAGACACATAAAGTGGTTAACTACAGTGACACATAAAGTGGTGAACTACAGTGACACATAAAGTGGTGATCTACAGTGACATGTAAAGTTGTGAGCTACAGTGACATATAAAGTGGCGAACTACAGTGACATATAATGTGCTGAACTACAGTGACATATAAAGTGGCGAACTACAGTGACATATAATGTGCTTAACTACAGTGATATATAAAGTGCTGAACTACAGTGAGGGAAAACTAAGTGGTGAACTAAAGTGACATGTAAAGTTGTGAGACCTACAGTGACATATAAAATGGTGAACTACAGTGACATATAAAGTGGTGAACTACAGTGACATATAAAGTGGTGAACTACAGTGACACATAAAATGGTGAACTACAGTGACATACAAAGTGGTGAACTACAGTGACATATAAAGTGGTGAACTACAGTGACATATAAAGTGGTGAACTACAGTGACATATAAAGTGGTGAACGACAGTGAGGAAAACTTAGTGTTGAACTACAGTGACATATAAAGTGGTGAACTACAGTGACATATCAAGTGGTAAACTACTAGTGAGGGAAAACTAAGTGGTGAACAACAGTGACATGTAAAGTTGTGAGCTACAGTGACATATAAAGTGGTGAACTACAGTGACACATAAAGTGGTGAACTACAGTGACATATAAAGTGGTGAACTAGAGTGACAAATAAAGTGGTGAACTACAGTGTCATGTAAAGTGGTAAACTACTGTGACATATAAAGTGGTGAACTACAGTGACACATAAAGTAGTGAACTACAGTGACATATAAAGTGCTGAACTACTAGTGAGGGAAAACTAAGTGGTGAACTACAGTGACATGTAAAGTGGTAAACTAAAGTGACATATAAAGTGGTGAACTACAGTGACACATAAAGTAGTGAACTACAGTGACATGAAAAGTTGTGAGCTACAGTGACAAATAAAGTGGTGAACTACAGAGACGCATAAAGTGGTTAACTACAGTGACACACAAAGTGGTGAACTACAGTGAGATATAATGTGCTAAACTACAGTGATATATAAAGTGCTGAACTACAGTGAGGGAAAACTAAGTGGTGAACTACAGTGACACATAAAGTGGTGAACTACAGTGAGATATAATGTGCTAAACCACAGTGATATATAAAGTGCTGAACTACAGTGAGGGAAAACTAAGTGGTGAACTACAGTGACACATAAAGTGGTGAACTACAGTGACACATAAAATGGTGAACTACAGTGACACACAAAGTGGTGAACTACAGTGACATATAAAGTGGTGAACTACAGTGACATAAAAAGTGGTGAACGACAGTGAGGAAAACTAAGTGGTGAACTACAGTGACATATAAAGTGGTGAACTACAGTGACACATAAAGTGGTAAACTACAGAGACATATAAAGTGGTGAACTACAGAGACACATAAAGTGGTGAACTAAAATGACAATATTGGGCTGAATTAGAGAAAGATTACTAATAATGCAACACAGGAGTTAACTAAAATTATCTTCACAGTATAAGATCTACTCCCTGTGGCGAATTTTCAGTTGTTCAGAAAATATATTTTAAAAAACGTTGATAAATGATAAGTTAACTACAACAGTTGAGGTGTAAATAAATAACACAGCGATTTCAATGAATTATAAACTATGCAATGGTATATTATTTTTAAACATTTGTTCTTTTAATTTTTCCTTTTTAAAAAGCTAATTTTTTTTATATTGAGGAAAGGGAAAAAATCGCACCGGAGAATAATGTGAATGATGTTGAAGTTGATTGTTCTGATGGAAGGCAGAGTGGTAGTTTTGGGGTCGCTGTTGCTGTTGTGACCGCTGCTGCTGCTGCTGGGACCGCTGTTGTTGCTGCTGAGAAAGATATGGGTGCTGAGGGTGTATCGATGGCCCAGTCGCCGTACTGTTGTAGCTCTTCTGCTGACCCGCAGCTGCAGTCTGTTCTAAATACTGCGGCTGTTGCTGAGGATGATAGTGATGCTGCTGTGGAGGGTACTGATACCCTGCTGCTTGGTACGGAGGGCAGTAATATTCGGGATAGACACTGTAGGGGTTGCGATAATCCATCGTCAT